CCTTACTATATATAATCTGACCCTTATCCGATTTAAGAATTCATATTAAATGTTTGATATTTAGTAGGGACAGTTTTTAAACAATTACGGCCTTATTAAAAAATGGCTTGTAAAACGTTATACCATATTTGATGGTATAGTTTCAATTCTTAAAAACATTACTTGGTAACCATGGCATCGATTAGTTTATAACTGTAGGCTAAGAATACGTAAAATTCCCAGCCACCCAATACTTGTATAATTTATGAAACTTTTCAATAAATCTTGTACTGCCTCTGATGGTAATTACTACGCGCAATATTAAAATTTATTATCGTAAACATTGAATATTTTGTCAAACTTTTGGTAGAGTTACTGCCTTTCGGCCTTATTTATATACGAAATCTTAATGGATTGAAGATTAACACAGGTCTGCGATAAAACATTATTAATAATTGCAGGTTAAATGCGTGTTATATATAAAAACCTTTAAATCAAACCTATATTTAAAAATAATAACTTTATTTTATTGTATCTCGTCATATTTCAAGACATTAGTTAAATAAATATATCTTTAATTTAGTAAATTCGCTTGTTAGCAAAATTCTGTAACAGGAGTTTGAAAATCACTCATTGAATGTTTCATTAAAAATCTGGGCGACTACAGCGAGGAATAGTGTGAACAGTGCCATCATATGCCATATTAAAGATATAGTAAGAACGTATACAGCTCGTTGGGTTGATACTATATAGCGGACCATTGTTGGATGTTGTATGTGAAGCGAAAACTCATAAAAGAAAATTTGCAAAACAGCTATTTGAAAAAAACTTTATTTTATTATAATAGCTACAGACACAATTAAACTAAATAAAAATTAATACGTGATTTTCATTTATTATTTGTTCCATACATTTTTTACAATAAGATCATGAATCTTCTAAATTCGACGTGGTAAATATGACGACTGTTTGATATTACTTTTAGAATATTTATTAAAATAATAGCTGTTCTTGAAAAAAATAAATTCGAAAAATTTTCGCGGACCTGAGTAATATGTCCCTGTTGTTAATTTGTGAAGCACAAAGGCGAGAAAGCAAAACACTCGGAGTACAATAAATGTAGTTAAGATTATAATAATTTACAACAATTCCAATGTTAAAAAAGTTTCGACCAGTTAATCAAAAAAGAATTATAATTATAATACATTTTGTATCTAAACCACATTAACTAACTTATGTTTATAGAGTATTTGTAATTAAATTCATAAACTGCTGGACCGATATTGATGAAATTTGTGTGTGTTCCGCATAATACATGGGTAGATGTATTTTTTTTTGTATTTTGTGTGTACAGGACAACATCTGTCTTGTCTGATAGTATTATACACAAAAATAAAACAATATTCACACATATTAATAATGGAATTTGAATAACATTTGTTTGTATGTAGACTTCAGACGACATTCCATTGATCTTCCTTCGACCTTATCCTTTGGCACTGTGAGCTAATAACGCCTAAATTATCCTCATTATTAGTTAATTTATTGGATGTCTCTGAGTACAAGTTAGTGCAGAGTTTGTTAGACCTATCATTCACAAGGTACGTTCTGTAGTGCATTAAGTATATATTAACACGTATTACATTGAATAGCCGAGATGGTTGTTGACTTTAGTATTTAAATAAGGCCTGGTTTTAACATTCGCCTGGGAAATCAATGAGCTCGATTCGTTCACGCAGTTGACCTACAAAAGTATTCGCTTGTCCGATAAAAATTAATAAGGTTCAATTGTATTTCAACTAAATTGAATTACGAGGTAATTTATGAAAGTTGTTTTATTTACGTGACTCGTTTTATTTCGCACAAGTTGTGTTTTAATAATTATCCTTATTTCTTTAATACAGCAATAACGTAGCGGCGTGTTTGATTTTGATACTTCAGGGTCGTACGTTTGAGTGCATACAAATATATCACATGTGCGGCACCTAACATGCTCTAAAGGTACAGGAACAATATGGTAGACAGACTGCTTGATCAAAAAAATCAACAACGTGTGTCAGGCACAGAAGGCTGAATGTATTTAATAATCATCAAATGATGATTATGCCAAAATCTGATGATGATAAAACAAAAATCTCCATCGAAACATGATTGTGAACCCATATCATTTCACAATTATGCGAAGAAATAAACTCCATTAATGGATAAGTGCTACCATGAGCGTCGCGTGCTAACACTAACACTACTAACTAAAATAATAATTTAATATTAAGTTTAATCGAAAACTAACTATAAACTAAAGTCAATCCAATCCATTCAAAGTTTTGAAACACCAATATACAAATTGGCTTCAAATATTTCAACAGTAAAAATGATTTCAATATTTTTATATCTATAAAGAAAACTGCAACGCAATGAAATGGCTTTTGAAATTAAAACAAACTATGTGTGTATAAAAATATCCTTTTCGAAATGTAATGAATATAAAACGTTGGGATATCTTTGTTATAAACTTTTTCGAAGGAAAATGATTGTAAGCATTTTCTGTTCTGCGTATTTATAATATTTACATTACGTTGCAGACTTTTGATGACGTAATAATAATTACGATTTCTCCGGGAATCTGAATCTCCGAGGCATATAGTGACTATGTAAATTACCCACTAAGCCACAGACGCAATTGACAGTAATTGTATATGTATAATAAATACGTTTTATTTCTCTATACGGCTCCAAAAAACTTGTAGCTCTAAATATTATTTACAACGAGTCAAAAAAAAATTGATTTAAAACTACTGCTACTCTTTGCAAGTGTTTTTATTTAAGTCCAGTACAAACCCAAAAGGCATTACGACAAATATAAACTCCTTGGAGGCTTTACTCAGTCTGACCTAGCCAAACACGAATATGTTCTGATCTGATGCGGAATTGAAGCGGCATTACCGATTTCAGATACCTAGTAGAGAGCGCTACTTCTACTAGCTGTCCCGTGCATACAATCTGAGTAATGCCTAGAATAGCTCTATACAGTCGTCTTGCCCCTGTTTTTTATTAGTTATTTAATAATATAATTGTAACAAATTCTAAAACAGACATCGTTTCAAATAGTTCTTAGTGCCTCGCAAATAATTTTTAATTCCCATAGGATATTGAGGCTTATTTATCGATATGGGCCGCAGGTGAGCATGAGTATGGTTTACGCTACCCTGGGGCGTGTTTCGACATAGCAATAATGCCTTAAAAACCGTAAGTGTAAATAATGTTAACATATATTTTGATCTCGTACATTTATACTTTATCTTATTATACTTAGACAATAATACCATGAGGCAACCTCGAAGCTTGTTAAGCAGATTCTGATTTAAAAAAAAGGCAATAGATTATGGAGTCGAGCGCCTACCCTCTGACCCTCGGTCTTACTAGATTGACTATTGTGGGTATATCGAATAGCATGAAGCAGACTCAACATTTTAATCTAGGATCCCCAGAAACTCCTATTCCTTTGTTAAACCAAAAAATAATAAAGAACATACTAAGAGGTTTTAAATGCATTTTCTGTTATATTATAGTTACTTTTATATACATTACTTTGTGGTTAGAATTGGACGTGAAGTTTTTAAATGTACTAGTTTATAATACTTAATATTTTTCTCTTGAATTCTAATCTCAAAACGGTACAAGATAATGTATAAGCAAAGTTTATTTAATGAGCAATTAACCCGAAGCAAATTTATATTTAATATTTGTATCAAAAGTACATGAACCGTCATTACGAATCTTTAAATTAATGAATAAGAATCAAAGGAAATAAGATGTTACGATTTCTCGCAAATTACATTAAATTTAATTTGAAATATTTGACGATTCGAGAGCAAATTTGAAGACATAAACGTATTAAATATCTTGATTATTTTAGAATTATATTTACCATTGCTTTTGGAGTATACTATCAAAACCGAATAGAATAATTTTAAATTTAGTTTTTTTTTAAATACATGAACATTATATTTCGATAACGCAGCGTTTTCTCTATAAAATGACGAACAAAAGGTAAAAATAGGTCTCTGTGTAATCTGGTATGAATGAAGACGGGAACAAAGAACACTGAAGTACATCACAATCCCTTCCTACAATCATTGATCTACTTATTTCTAATACCATAACAGATTGAAAATGGAATTCTATTTTCATAAATAGTACGTTATATACGACCTTCTTTCAGTGATTGTTGAATGAAAAAAAACACAAAATGTCTTCGAAATTCGAATTCAAAATAGGAGACCCGGAAAGGACCCAAAGGACCGAGCAAGGCTCTTTATGTAAATTCGTAGACTACAAAAGGTGGAGTAATGGCGAAGTGAGATTGCGACTTTCACGGTTCAGGGCGAATCGAAAGAAATTAGAATAAAAAATAGACTTTAATAACTGCTGTATGATTGCAGAAAAGGCTTGTACAGCATTGAATGGGTTGATTAAGTGTCTTTGACTAGACCAGCTTTATAAAAATATGTATTTCAAAAAAACTCAAATATAAAATGTGGTTTGATTTTTACGTTTATATTAAAAGTATCACAATAACAAGACTTTGAATATTTATTTAAGGTTTTTGAATACTTATAAGAACCATAAATTTTTATATAATATATATATTTTTATATCTAATCCATCTTTGTTCATTGATTGATGGTTCTAAAAATATGCTCTGACTTTTGTGTGTTACATATATGTAGCTGATTCGTCACGGCAAAACACTAAACAAATATGACTCAGTTAGGTTAAATAAGTCTATGTGTTTTAAATTTTGCTTCTACCTTATTTTAAAATGAAGTTATGATAAAATGCAAAATTATCTCAAGAAAGAAATTTCGCAAGACTAAGTTGCAGTGAAACTTTAAGAATTCTGAACGAAGGAAAATTATATTATGAATCTTCATTCTAAAATACGTATTTACCAAGGAATTATTGTTTATTATTGGTAAACTCTAAAAAAGCTATGAGGTTGTACACGAATACAAAAGAAATTAATCGAAAGGAAAGTACGCGACAAGAGTAACGTGCTCAACCACGTAGGCAGCTGACTTTGTAATGCCATCGATGCCAGTGGCAGAATTGAGTTGATCATCCTTATTGAACTTTATAGAAGCCGCGAGAACCTCGTCGCATAAACGTGGGCTACCAAATTTGGCGAGAAAAGAGCATGGACAATTAGATTTGCTGTCTAGATTAGCGACTCTGGAACAATAGTGAATATCTTGCTCATCGGTAGGGCATTTGATGACATTCCCAAGCTGCTTTTGCAATTTTAGTTAAGTTTTCGCCTCTGTGCTCCGGAACACATTGAAATTCTATATTTGCCTCGCGAGGAAGTTGGTCTAATTGGGCGATCTTCGCAGCGAATGTCTAATAATCAGCTCACAGTGATTAATTCTCCCTTCTGAATTCATGCAGTATCTCAGCCTGTGAAGCACAGTCGGATTATATTATTATTCCAATTCAGCACTGAAAAAGAAAGAAGGACATCGACGATTCGATTGACGTCACTGTGTTGCGGACTTCTAGTAGCTGCGGCCTGAACTGTTGATTAAAGGTGATTTGTAGCTTTTCGCGTATGATGTCCCGTATATTTCTGGCCGAGAGACGAGCAGTTTAAATACTTCCTGGAGTTAGGACGATGGAATGCAAAGACTTATTGGCCAAAGGGTTCAGTCTCAGAATTATTGCCACCTCTCCTTTCGCATTACGCATACCCAGCTGGAATCAGACTCATAGTCGGCTAAACTCATATTTAGACAGTTCAGATGGAATTTAACCTCGCAGCGAGAGCAAGACAAGTGTGTCTCACCGAGTAATGCGTTCAAACATCCAGCACATTGTTGAGAGCTAGCCATTTTCGAGATTAAGTGTTGGCGACAAGGTACGAATCCCATCGCGGACACAGAGTGCGGTCTCTACGCCGTATTGGTCAAAAATCGTTGTATATGTTTGTCGAAAAGCCTTGTATCCGCTCACAGAAGATGCCCCAATTAAGTGTCAAGTATCACTTGTCAGCGTCACACAATTATTACCAAGAACAAGATCTGGGGCCTTAGTTAAGATAAGATACCTTAACAGTAGTGTATGTAGAAAGTCGAAAACTAAATTTGGAAATGACAGTTCGTGTCGAAAAGTTTTCATACAATTTTAGTTTTTGACTGTATAGCTATATAGACTTAAGTCCTTTGCCCTTCCCATTAGGGATAAATTAATATCAACATCTTGTCAAGCGTCACACAGAATGTGCAAAATATACTATTAGTTCTAAATTGAGATAATAAATCGACAATGAAAAACGGTTTTAAAAACTTTCTTCTCAGATGTTTGTAAGTTTGATATATTAAACTGACGAAATAATATTACATACATTTGATGCTTCTTGGTTAAGTTAAAATTACCTACATCCAAATAACATTTCTATAATACGTACTAATTTTGTAATGTCAAATATCAAAATATGTTTTAGTCTTGAATTGTATTGTAATTAATTTGACTATATTGAGACAACTATTATTTTTTAAAGAACCCGATTTCCGCCGGATATCGAATCTAGGATCCCCGTATACTATGTGCGTAAGTCTGGCTATGGAGAGTTTTAAAATTTGTATTCCTGGCCAACTTTGATACATATATTATATCAAAAATACGAATCCATCAGAAACAGCTAGTCAATACTCTCCCGAGATTATTGCGAATAAATTCTCAAAAGATGTTGTATCTTCAAACACAATAGATCGAGATAAACAACAGAAAGGATATTAGAATTGAAGCGGGGATAGATGACAGGTGAAAAGAATCCATTATTACGATTCCACAGATGAAAGATTCTCTTTATTTCGTATCCACGGGGTATATTGCCCAAAAAATAATGCAACCCCTACGGGAAAACGAGTGACAATTTGGAACAAAACATTCTTTTATTTGCGTAAGTATTATGCTGTATGATTTTTTCTTAAGGTGGATCGAGTAAGTCTAGTACTTTTTTTGTAAAAGAATTTCAATTCTACTTAAAAGTCTAGCATTTTCACTTTTAGTAATGCGAGGAATGCTTGCTCATTGAGAGCTGCGGAATTATTTGACATCATATTCGCCTGTTTTCGCTATTTATATACTTCCTGAAAGAGCCTGTACAACGACAGTTGTATTGCTATATTATACCGCAAGATTGTTTGATTATTACTTCGAATTGTTGTGAATCAAGAATAACGTCATATCTAAGTAATGTTTTGTTTTTGGTCGGTACGGTCATCGTAACCACCAGTTCTGAAAAGGCTCCATAGTTCAAACTCAAACTATCTTTATTCATGTAGGTAAACAAGTACACTTATGAATTGTCAGAAAGAAGTTAAATTGTAAATTTACATTTACTACCAGTTCGCAAGTCAAGGGCGTAGAGCGGGTAAGAAAAACTGTCATGAAACTTTCTGCCACTCTTTTTAATCGCCAAGTATTGTCATACAAATTGTTTGAACTGGAGCAAATCAATGCCAAGGATTAGGGTCATTTAAGTATTCCTCAAATTTATAAAAAGCTTTATTGATTAATATTTCGTTTAACGAGGGCTTTGAATTTATTTAGTGATAATTCTCTAATTTCGCGTGGGAGTTTGTTGTAAAAACGAATACAATTTCCATATAAGGAGTGGTTTATCATTTACATACTTAAGGTAAACATGTTAATATTGAGTTCTCATTGACATCTAATATATAAAATTCTCGTGTCGCGGTGTTTGTAGTTAAACTCCTGCGAAACGGCTTGACCGATTCTCATGAAATTTTGTGTGCATATTGGGTATGTCTGAGAATCGGACAACATCTATTTTTCATCCCTAAAGGTTAAGGGTAGTCCACCCCTAAATAATTATTTTTTTATTTTTAGATAATTTATCATTTATTTTTTTATGATACAGCATTAAAAAATACATACAACCCCTAATTTTCACCCCTCTACGATCAACCCGTATTTTTTATAATAAATGATATACATGGCAAAACGACGTTTGCCGGGTCAGCTAGTTTATTTATATAAATGTTTGGATTTTTATCAATCACTAAGGCTTATTTATGAGTTAGCCTCCTTTCCATTTTTTCCCGGTAAAACACCGAGGGAATTAAACTCTGCGGATGTTAGAAGCGTACTACTTATTTATCTTTTACGACCTCAATAAAAATACAATTGCAATCCTAGCAACATAGAATACGATTTTAATATTCCCAGTTCACACCTCCAACGATATTACGAAGGCAAGTACTCGCTTTGTACCGTTGTCCAATTTGACTCAACTTGATCTGTCTGAAGTTTATTACTATCTCACTTGAACACCGCTTACAAAGTAATATCGTTCGATGTCAGGAATTATATTAAGTTTGCTATAGTTTAAATCTATACGCTATGGGGTGACAATTACTAACAAAAAGTAGGTCCTGTAGTCTAAGAATTATATTAATTGTATTCAACTTTCAATTTTTTTCTTAAAAAAATACAAAATGTAATCGTAATTTTGATCTGAGCAGTGTTGGCCTAGTGGCTTCAGCGTGCGACTCTCATACCTTAGGTCGTAGGTTCGATTCCCGGCTGTGCACCAATCGACTTTCTTTCTATGTGCACATTTAAAATTTGTTCAAACGGTGAAGGAAAACACCGTGAGGAAACCGACATGTCTTAGACCCAAAAAGTCGACGGCGTGTGTCAGGCACTGGAGGCTGATCCTACTTGCCTATTAGATTTAAAAAATGATCATGACAGATTCAGAAATCTGAGGGCAAGACCTAAAGAGGTTGTAGCTCCATTGATTTATTTTTATTAATCTTGATTATTATATCATTTGCATGTGGATAATTACGCTATAACATTCATTAGGATACATTTATTTTATGTAAACGTTGTAAAAATATATTTTTTATGATTTTGATACCGATTCGGCAAATTTTTTTTTGCACCGGTACTTTATGAATCCCGTGTAAAAATGTTGACTTCAATGTTTTTGCACCGCGTGATCTGAAAGTTACGACAACAGCGACAACTACGGATATTGAAAGGAATATATCACAATTGCATACATCGGCTTCGCTATGTTAAATTCCGGCTCTGATATGTGCCGTAGTGATACCACTTGCCGTGGACACTAAAATTGCCAAGTATGTTGCTGGACTTTTAAGTATTGGTGCACTCTTTACGGTTAACAGTATTTAAGTTTTAAATAGTAATCTTATAACCTAAGAACAATTTACTTATTTAATTAAAGTACGGTATAGATATTAAGATTTATATTTAAACGTCGAGAATCCTTTAAATATATGAAAGTAAAATCGGCGTGAAAGACCGGCCCAATGCCCGCATTAAAACGTAACGTTTCACTGTACTCACCTTGTCAATGAGAAATCTGTTATTTTGTAATAAAAATACTCAAACATATGCAACATTGAACCATACTTGATAAACTTATTGCTTGGATTTGTTTAGTAAGAAAAACATTAAAGAGTGAAATTTCGCCGACTTTAGCATAAATGATATTTCTTTAAGATGAATTAAAGTATTTTTGCATAGGCGCTATGATGCTTAAGAAACATCTCATATATGACGACTTTTTTATAGAACAAGGAAAACTGATGGAACAGCTCACCTGATATTAAGTGATACCGCAATGCCCATGTGCGCCTGAAGGATCGCAAGTTCGTTGCCGGCCTTTCAAAATTGCTGGAAGTAGATGGTATGTGGAATTGGAAATGCCTTTGAAGAACCCTAAGTCGAATTCATTTGGAAATAGTTCAGTCTGTAGTTGGATACACAAATTTGTGTAATCATTAACTAAAATATATCTCATCAAAGTTTTAATTTCGTTCCACTAGTGCATATAGCCATCCATAACCAAACGATAATAAGGTATTGTTATAGGAAGCATCATTTGAGAACACAAAATGGATGTGGGTGGGTGTTTGTTAATAGTTACTACGTTAGCTTGGAGTTTTACATTTGGTGAGATTTTATTTAAAACTTCTTTAATAAAAATTTCTTGCATTTTAATATTTCATTAAATAATGAAAATCATTATTTAATATAGTATAGGGTTTAAATCCCTATGTATGGTTGTACATACTTATATCCTGTAGTGATTTCTTTATTTATAATAAACTAATATAAAATTTTATTATAGCAGTAACGAAAATATGCAATAGGATCAAAGCTTAATGGTTCTATCTTCTGTTTTAGTGTTTGCTGATGGTGCATCAGTCACCCGAAACAAGCGACATTTGTTTCCACTGATGGGCTTTCTTCAAGGTTATAAAATGGGTCAAAATTTTGCTTTACAATTACCGCCTCTAGTCCTGTCACCAGTAGTTGTCCTTCCAGTCAACCAACATCAAAGTGTCCACATTCAGGGAAATCCTAATGAAAACATCGATGAACATGGTTTGTTTCAAATTGTTCCTCCAGAAAAACTCATCCAACACTGCAACTCAACAGATAATTCGAAAGATAAAGGTTATAATAATGTTACGATTAAAAATAATGTGGAATTACTTAACGATGACGTAAAAGAAGAAGATACATTTAGACAGAATATTGTTAATGATACTGATACTGTAACTGAACCAAATGTGGGAAATGATAGTGATAATATCACTACAACTGAAACCACAACTATTTCAGAAGCGGAACCCACTAATGTTACAAATACTACAAAGCCGCATGGACCGTATCCAAATGCAATTTATAAAAATGATATGATAGCTTCATTATCAATTACTGAATCTCCTATTACTCCCATTAATGATACCTTTAGGCTTCCTTCCACAGACAAAAATTGGCAAAACTTTAATTCTAATGTGCTTACCACGGAATTACAAGTTGAGAG